TAGAAAAGCCTCCCAATCCTGAGGGAAAATGGGCAATGACCAATCTGGCTGCTTCTTGCTGAATGAGGACGTAGTTTCAGAGGTCAGGATTGTAGGAAATAGCATGCATTTATTTCAAAATATTCAGAATTTTCCCCTTAGTTTTTCAATATTATTATGCTAGCACTAACTTCTACTGTTATATTTTCAAATCTGAAAGCACATTTAATTAAGATATAAAACAAGATAACAAAGTTGCTGATAAGGACAGAAGTCTGACTGCATTTTCCTATTTTTCAAAATCCTTTCCAGGGTGCCCGGAGGGAGTCATGCCCACAAACATTAACAGACCATTTTGACAGGAGTCTTCCTACATTCCATCCCTGAAGTAGTATCTTTGTGATATATATATATATATAAAGTTTCTTCATCTCTCGTAAAGTACATTCTTTTCTGATTTCAGCAACCTTCCTTTTTTAATCACCAACTTAAAAACTATAAAACCCACATAACTTACAAGTCCCCCTCCCATTCCACATGTCCTGTCTTTTGGGGCCAGACTAACAGAAAAACTCTTCACTTTTCACTAAATTCCAAACTTAGTCTCTTGCTCTCAAAATCAAATAAAAGGAACCCTTATACCTGATTACCTGAAGAAAGACATGTTTTGCCTCCTCTCTGGGCCTAGGTCACTCGTATTTTACTTAGAAATAAACTGCATTATTATTTTCACAGAGTTGGTTTTTTACATCAACACTAGCCTATTTTTATCAGTAGCCAGGTAGCTTAGTACTTTTTTACCTAAGATTTGTAAGTGCAACATGAAATGTCATCATGTGAACTTCTTTAATAAGCCAAGATATAATTCAAAACTATTTTATGATCTAAGACAAATTTTGCCAATCAAATACAGTGAAAAAAAAGGCTGAGGTGATCCGATAGAATTTTCGGGCCTGTCATTTGCATTTACACTCATTATACTCCAGTTATTGTGGTGATTTGGGGAGTGTATCTAATTGATCATCCTCAGTGTGTAAAATTTCAAGAAAAGCAGTTTTAGCTTTAATGAATCAAAATTTTAAAATGTGAAAAAACTTGCTTAAGACTTAAAGCCAGGAAATAAAGAATTCTGTCCAAACACTAGGTAGATACTAAAAACTCAAACAAATATGTACAGAGCTAAAATCTAGTGATAAATGCACTATAGTTTTTTTTGAGAAACATTTTTCTTCTTTCCATTCCCCCTTTTTACCAAAAAAAACATAGTAAGACTAACTTATTTGCAAATAAGTTTAGTCTTAATTTGGTCCGTTATTTGCACAAAGTACAATAAGAATACTAATCAATTTAGTTGGCTTTTATAAAAAACTTCAGATTAGACTCTTTAAGAAGCCTCACAAGACTACTGAGCCAAGCCAGGAATCCATCCTGACTGTACCTGTACTTGGAACTTTGGGGCCTGTCAGGAAGTGACATTCTTTACTTGCCTGCCAGGCAGAACTGCTTGTGGTACCAGGCAATCTTTCCAAGAGCAACTGTTGGCTTCGTTGAAATCAACCTTAGTTCCTTAGCTTTCTGGTCATATCTCCAGATATGACATACCAGTCAAAGCCCTGGCAATAACCAGTGTTTCCAATTTCTGATGCAAGGCAACAAGTATTACTGAACTTATGCAAACAACCATACTGTCACAAAATAAGAATGCTCAACAATATTCTCCAATTCCAGGGGATCAGAAAGAGAGAAAAGTTTGCTACAATTTCAAAAGGAAAAAAATTAACAAATTGTTGAGCCTATCAACAGCTCAAGAAGACAAAAATCCTTAAATCTAGAAGACAAATCATAGAAGAAAATCAGTAATGTTTTAGTCATAAGTAAAAAAATTCTATTTCACCAGTTCAGTCTCATGTAATTAATCTCTCTTTTGTTGAGTTTGCAGTGTTATGGTCCAATCTTTCCATTTAAATCCTGGAAGTTCAGAGATATAATCTCAAAGTTATCAAAAACCTATATTTAAGAGTACTTTATTGGGGGCCAGCAGGTGACATGATGGCCAAGACACTGGATTCCCACATGGCCAACCACAGTTTGAGTCCCAAACCTGGTGGCCTGCCTTCTCACTATCCCTACTGAGATAGGGATGTCTATATTGATTTGTCTCTTCTCAAATCAAATAGTAACAATAATAATAAATAAACCTACATAAACAATTCTTTAAAAAGAGTACTTAAGAGTCTTTTTCACTAATTTCCTTAAAAGAGGCAATTTTTTGGATTGTAGCTTATCACAAAATGTTTTAGAAAGAGCATCAGAATAAAGCATTTTAACTATAGACAACAAAATTTAAAATGGCCCTGGTTCAAGATCTGATTTTACTATAACCCAAAGTAGACAAATTTGATAATTTCTGTGACAAGCTACATTAGAACTATTTAGCATTACAAGTATGATTAATAATACACTGATATATAACAGATATTTAAGGATCTCATATAATTTTGGAACACCCATTGACACAAATTTGTATATAGAGAGCTAAACACCATTTCTTATTTGACAATATTTCCCATATAATTTCAACATGTCAGAAAGTCTAATCTGTCTCAGACATCCAAGGGCTCTGTTAATAATTTTCAAAAATTAGTTTAAGGTAAAAAAAAAAACAAAACACCTTAAACTGGAACTGAAATTTGATGTAGGATGTCTGACAAA